ACGGAGGTGAGGGGGTGGGGGCAGAAAGTGGAGACGAAAGCAGAACATTGCCAGAGAGCAGGAAAGGAGGTGGAAGGAGACAATTTAGAGAAGAAAAAATACCGTCGCTATCTGGGTTCGAAGCCGGGACCTATTGAATGAGAGGTGAACACTTTAACCTCTAGGCCATGAGAGCCCCCTGTCAACATTGTTAGATTATTTAAGAGGCAGCTCCGAGTTTAACGTTCATCTCCGAAAGGACCGAGTCAATGGGAAATTCGTGTAAAGTCTTAGTGCCTTTCCCGAAACAACGCGGGACCGAGCTGAGGCTCGGATTCCCGAACCCGCAACCTCACGTTTACGGGCACAGTTCCCTAATCACAAGGCTACAGAGGCTACGGGCGCCACACAACCATAATAATATTATTACTGCTTTTGATAAACATTTTCCCTTAGTTTCAAATCTGTACGCCAGCCGAGTATAGATTTGCTTATGGTAATGGGAGAAAGTCAGAGTGGGAGAGAGAAAAGGTGAATTAAGGTGTGGAGAGAGAGAGAGAGAGAGAGAGAGAGAGAGAGAGAGAGAGAGAGAGAGAGAGAGAAGGAGAGAGAGAATTGATTTTGAATTCCATTTTTTAAAAATCTTATGAACACTTAATGGATTCAGATAGGGGTGCTGCTGTTTAACAGATAAAGCCACCCCCACACAAAAACAACCAAAACAAACTAAAAGAAAAATAATATCCCCTCCCCCCTCAAGAAATAGCGAGAGAGAAGTTAATGGAGTCAAAAACTCAATGGCATCCGTCGGCTGGCCGCACCTTAAACATCAACATTTTGTGCCCTCTCCCTCCCCAATCCCCAATCCCCAATCAATTGCGAATGCTCGGATAACAGCGTTACAGATAACATTTTTATTTCCGCCATCTGCTCGTTGTCGTCAACACAAACACGATTTTTTACGCCTTAGAGAAAAACATATTATCAATCAGGATATTGACATAGAGCACTCTATCCTTTTCCTTTTCTTGTAACAAAGTTCTTAATGTTACACGCCTTTGCCATACCAGAGTTTGTGGAGTAGCGGTTTAGCGTTTCGCTGTCGCACTCAATACACCCGAGTGCGATTCCCGTCCGGGGAGAATATCTTTATCGAGTATCTAGTGCCTTATTTCTTAACTCGTTCTCTGTTCCTATTTAATTTCGGTACAGAGCCCGACTCCTATCAAACTCTATATTAGCATTTCTTTCTTTGATGACTTTTCCCTTTTTTCTAAAAGCAAGGAGGGAAAAAATAACAAGAAACAACTAGAACCTTTCTGATTTCTGAACTCTGTTGTTGAATTGTACTTGTAGTTATCTTGAAAACAGATACGTATTCCAAGAGTAGGTCAATAGATTTAATGAAATTGTACAGTGGAGTCCGCCTGGAGTGTACACGCTTTATTTGAACAATCGGTTGAAGTGAACAATATTCTATGGTCCCTATTGAAACTTTTTTTGTTTAAGTAAAAAAAAATAGTGTATAAAATGAACCGGTTTATGGGGAAATCAGATAACGTGAACGCCCAAAATGAGTGAAAGCAAAGAACGGACCGACCGTGTCACTGTTGCCATGCTGTGAAAATAAAATTCTTTGCCTCGGGCATCGGCGGATAATCCCAGCTCGGTGTTGGCGCCAGCAATCAGAAAGAAAGAGCTCTAGTCTAGGCTCGCCCGCTGTGTTGTCCCCCTACCCCACCTCCGCCCTAGACTCACCACTGCGCGTAGCAACTGATTCTAGGTCTTCACCTTACCAAAATGGTTAAACTGAACCTCGGATAAAGTGAACAGTTTTTCTGGTCCTAAAGAGGTGTTCACTCTAAGTGGACTCCACTGTAGTTATACAAAAAAAAGTAGTTACATTGACTACATCCCGATTGCTGAGAGGGGAGAGTATATACCAAGTCTCGATTGTGGGCAGAAAGCACAATATGTTCTTAGACCAGGGAGAAAGAGAGAGAGAGAGAGAGAGAGAGAGAGAGAGAGG